GGGGGGGGGGGGGGGGGGGCACGTAGGCTTGGTCCTCTCAGCTGCTCGCCACTTGCCGGCTTCGACCAGGAAGGCCCCCCAGGCCGACTGCGGCATGATCTCCATCACCGAATGGCAGAGTGAGTGCAGTGACCCGGGCTGTGGAGGGAGCGGGGCTGGAGGATCCGGGCTAGGGTGGGGCAGAGACGTGCCCCTTCCAGCCAGACCTTTTCTTTCTGGGGAACCTACGCACGTGACCTCTGGAGCCAGTGGCTGGGAGCTGCTGTGCTGGCATGCGAAGTAGCAGGGCCCAGGCAGGGGGCGAGGGGGTGCTCAGCGCCCATAGGTAGCCAGAGGCTGGTGCCTGGGGGGCCTGGCAAATTGTCAGTCAAGCCCGCCCCTTTCCCGTACAGGGTTCTTAGAAGTGGGATGCCACAAAAGTGAACTCGGGAGGCCTCTGCCCTTTCAGACCCCACAAACCCTCAAAGTCTCCTGTGGCCTTGGGTCCCTTCTTACTAAAAACCAAACTCCACTCCTACGTGTTTTTCCCCTTCCTTTGGGGAAAAGGGTAGGGAGGTAGAGCACAGGTCTGGGAGGGCAGGGAGGACAGTGGCTCTGTGGGCTTCGTTGGTTGAGTTACTGAAAGGCTCTGAGCCCATTTCTCATCTGCAAACTGCTGATACCATTCACTCACTCACTGAACAGTTTTGTCTCTGCTGTGTGCCAAGCACTGCGTTGGATGTAGAGTTTGAAACAGATGCTTACCTTCTAGAGAGGGGAGACAAGTAACAGGTCAAGAAGAAAATATATGGTACGTCAGGAGTGATAAGTCCTCTGTACAGAAATAAAGCAGGCTAAGGAGGCTAGGGAGTTCAAAGTAAAGGGATTACTATTTCATACAGAGTGGTCAGAGAAAACTTCACTGGGAAGGTGCCCTTTACACAGAGACCTATAGGAAATGAGGGCATAGAGCCATACAGCTCTCCTATAGGAAATGAGGGCATAGAGCCATACAGCTCTCTGGAGGGGGAATGTTCCAGGAAGAGGGGACAGCCGGTGCAAAGACCCTGAGGCATCAGCATGCTGGGTGCGTTTGAAGAACAAGGGGGCTGGTGTGGCTGTGGCTGGAGCAAAGCGAGTAACAGGGAGGGTAGTAGGAGCTTAGGTCAGGGAGGTCACTGAGGGGTCAGACCCTGTAGAGACTTATAGGCCATGGTAAGGACTTTGGTTGTATCTACATAAGATGGTAACCCCACTGGGGGATTTTGTGCAGAGATGTGACATGATCTATTTTTAGAAGATCACTCTGGATGCCGGGTTGGGAATAGGCTGTCGAGGGGCAGGGAGACCAGGCCTGAGGGGAGCGAGGGTGGAGGAGCCTGGGCGTGAGCAGCGAAGTGGTGGGAGGTGGGCCGCGCTGCATCCGCCTCGAGGAGGTTGCTGAAAGGGTTTGCTGATGGATTGGATGTGGGGTGTGCAAGAAAGGAGGGTCGAGAATGCCTCCAATGTTTCTATCCTGGGCAATGAAAGGTTGAGCAGGAGGGAAAGCAGGAGCTGCGCTGTAGACGTGTTGAGTTTGTTCGTGCCATTAGACATCTAGGTGGGACGTCAAGTAGGCGGTTGGGTATGAGTCCTGAGTTCAAGATAGAGGCCTAGGCCGGAAAGAGAAATTTGGGAGTTGCCAGCATGTAAATGGTATTTAAAACCATGAGAGTGCATGAGATCACCTCGGGCACAGTTTCTTGGGCTTCCCACTACTGACATTTTGGGGCAGGTTAATTCTTTGCTGTGGAGGGCTGTCCTGTGCACTCTAGGATTTTAACAGCATCCATGGCCTCTCTGCACTAGATGCCAGTAGCACACACCCCACTGAGTTGTGACAATCCCATATGTTTCCAAACATTGCCAAATGTCCCCCGAGGAACAAAATTGCCTCCCCGCAACCTCCCCTTGCCACAGTTGAGAACCACTGACCTAGGGAATAAAAATAAAGACAGAAGAGGGCTGAGGCCTGAGCTCAGTGGCACGCTGACATTTTATTAAACCCATTAGCCTTCAAGTAAATATGCTCTTACCACATGTGATAAGTCCTATGGAGAATGTGCTAAGTGCTATGAGAGAGAGAAGTGAGGGAACCAGCTTTAGGTCAGGGAACAGAGAGTGGACCAGGCGTCCCTGAGAAACTGACATTTGCATTGAGCCGGAAGGATGAGTATGTGTTAGTCAGTTCCAGGCAAGGAAACCTCATGTGCAAAGGTCCTGCGGGCAGGAAGGCTCAGGTGGACGCAATGAGAGCATGTGGTTGGAGTACGGCAGGCCAGAGGTAGGGAGGCAGGAGACTGGACAAGCAGGCCTGCGGGAGCCATGGTGGAGATGAGAGGACTCTTTCATTCTAAACTCGGTCGGAGGCCACGAGGGACTCTAAGCAGTACACTAATAAGACTGGATTGTATGTTTTTTGAGATCCGTGAGTGCTGTGTGAAGGACGAGGAGAGAGGCAAGAACGAGGCAGGAGACAAGGCAGGGCTGTGGCAGAAGTCCATGACAGAGATCCCGGTGGCTGAAAATTAAGAGTGGAGAGAAATGGACAGCTTTCAAGATACGTTTTAGAAGAAGAAGCAATAAAACTTAGCTGCAGACTGAACAGGGGAGGGTGGCATGAGCAGCGAGGGAGACTCAAGGACAGCTCTCTCGGGGGCTTCTGCCTCCGGGGGCTGCGTGGACGGTGGGGACGTTCTTACTCACTGGGGGAAATCAAGGGATGTGCAGGTGAAGGAAGGAAGGTGGACAGCTCAGTGTTGGACCCGTTGAGTTCAAGATGCCTGAGAAAAAACCAAGCAGACATGCTAAGTAAGCAGCTGGAGAGGAGTTTGGAAACTGAAAGAGAGACCTGGGCTAGAAAGATAAATATCGACATTGTCAGCACACAAAAGACATTTAAAGACATGGGAGTATGTGTGAAAACAGAATAAAGAAGTGAGCTGAGGCCCAAGCCCTGAGCAGCTCAAGTCCCAAGAGGAAGAGGGAGCAGTAGGAGCTGGCAGTGGAGACTGGGAAAGAGTGGTTAGAGCAGCAGGAAGAAAACCAGAAGTGTGGTGTCACGAGAAAGGCTGTTTCAGCAAGGACTGGCCACCTGCCGACAGACGAGGACTGACCTCTGTCCACCGGATCTGTAACATGGAGGTCATGAATAGCTAAAGCAAGAGCAGTTTCTGCACAAGTGGATGGGACTGGGTTGATGAAATGCACTTTTTAGAGGCAGATGACTGTGTTCGGGCCCTGGTTCTGCCAGTTGCTGGCTGTGTACCCCTGGTTTCTGCACAAGTGGATGGGACTGGGTTGATGAAATGCACTTTTTAGAGGCAGATGACTGTTCTGGCCCTGGTTCTGCCAGTTGCTGGCTGTGTACCCCTGGGCAACTCAACCGCTCAGTGTTTCCATTTTGTTTGTGAAATGGGGCTAAGAGCTTCCTAGGCAGTTATGAAAATTAAATGAGTTAATGTACTTGAAGTGCTTAGACTGTGCCCGGCACAGTGTGTTCCATACACTGCTAATCACTATTGTTAATTTTTTTTTTCCTTTTTGTCTTTTTTCGTGTCCGGCAACGGATCGCAACCCTCAGTGTCGCGCCCGTACCGGACCGGGACCGGCAATGGTATTGCAACCCTCGGTGCTGCGCCTGCGCCGCGCTCAGCCAGTGAGCGGGAACCGGTCACCACATGGGATCCGAACCCTCGGCGGGAGCGCCACCGCACTCCCAAGCGGCGCATTCTCCAGTGCGCCACCGGGCCGGCCCACTATTGTTAATTTTGAAAAGTGATTAAAGCCTTGTCCTCTTCTCACTTCCCTCCCTCCTCTTTCTGAACAATTCAGGTCTAAAGCTATTAGGCTGAACAGAAAGGGGCGTGCCCAGAGCTGGTTGTCAGAGCCCCGGCTGGGCGAGGTGGCTGGCCAAGGCGTCATAGCCAAGGCAAGGTGAAGAGGGCACTCCTGCGGGGTGGGGGATGGAGAGTGACTTTACAGCAGAGGGCCTGGCAGACACTGCCTGAAGCGTGGAGAAACATCATCCGTAATGGGCCAAATTGAAGCTGTGCATCACCTTCTAGGACGCAATGACAACACAGCACCATCTTGCTGATATTTCTGCCTAAAGTGCATAACCTGAATCTGGTCGTGAGGAAACGTCAGATGAACCCAAATGGAGGGACAGCTATAAAATAACTGGCCTGAATCTACAGAAGTGCCAAGGTCATGTCAAGGAAAGACTAAGAAACTGTTCCAGATGTAAGAGACTAAAGAGACATGACAATTAAATGCCACATGTGATGATGAACTAGATTCTTTTGCTAGAAATGATATTACTGGGACAACTGGTAGACTTGAATGGGGTCTGAGGGTTGGATGATAGTAATGTATCGGTGATCATTTCCCAACTTTGATGGTTGTACCTTGGCTATCTAGGAGACTAAAGGAAAACCACACCAAAGTATTCAGGGGTGATGACATATCAGGTGGCAACGACTCTCAAATAGCTCAGGAAAAAGATTCTTTGTACATATTTGCAACTTTTCTGTACATTTGTGATTGTTTTTAAAAAAAAATAAAAAAAGAAAAAGAAAACAAAAAGGACAACGTTCTGAGACTCCTTGCACAGCCTCGGCCCGGAGGGACTCACCCGCATGCTCCATGATATATTGCTTTCCTCGGAGCTATGGCTGCTTTCTGGAACAGGAAGGACACTGAACCTGGCTTCCCTTAATGAGAACTATAAGGTGGGGAGTTGGGGCAACCTGGCTGGTCTGCATCAGGCTGTACGGTCCTCTTGGCAGCGGCTCTGGAGCTGCAGGGCAGGGGCATTAAACACGGCATCAGCGCATCCAGGAGTGTGCCTTGCCAGGGGGACCTACAGCTGGTCTCTGAGGTCCGGGGAGGTCTTCTCTTCTCACTAGGTGACGCCCTGGAGAGCCAGACCGCCCCAAAACCTCAGCCTCCAGGCTGTTTCCTGCTGGGTGTAGCGTGTGACAGCCCCAGCCATCTCCAGCAGGGGGCGCGCTGCCTCATCTGTCTGGATCGTGGGGACAGGGCCTTCTGCCACCCCCTCTTCCTCTGCCCGCTTTACCATGGTTGCTGCCCGAGAAGGACTTCAAGAGCAACCCCCGGCTGGGAAACTTGACTGAAATCGCTAAGCTACTCCGGAAGCGAGAGGAGGAGGAAGGCCCGAAGCATGTGTGGGAGAAACACAGTTTCTGAGCCTTTTCTGTGAGGTTCTGTGTCCCACTGAATGCTGAAAGCACTCAGTGTGGCCCGTAAAGAAGGCTGTTCCCATCACAGGAAAGTTCTGGAATTACACCAGCCCTTAAAGAAGAGTGTGGAACAAGTTGGAAGAGTAATAACTATGCAGCTAGTAAATCGTTGTTGCAGAAGAAGAAAGTATAATGTAGGAGAGAAGACATGAAATGTAAATTTGAGAATCTTATGCTGTTTCTCCAAAATGACTAAGGCTGTTCTCAAAATGACTAAGTGTGTGCAGGACGGACGTACAGATATTTTAACAAAGCAACATGGAAACCCTATAAAATGTTCACGTTGTATTTCCACATGAAAACATCTACGAAGAGAGACACAGGGAAAGGGTGTATAGTCAGAACTAGAGTCAGTGACAGATATTTTTATGGTAGGTATAAGCTAATAATGGATATTTTTATAACAAGCATAAAAACTTAACACCTTTATCATTCAGATTAAAGAAATGTGATTGTGGTCTTCCTCCACAATATCCTGGCCTACACAAAACTATCATGACCGTGAAAGTAGATGTACGTCTAGATCCTCAACTTACTGTCTCTGAGGATAGAAATGTCATGCAATATGGAAAGACACAGCACAACTTTCATAATGACCCAAGGGGCTGTATTCTGCCCAGCTGTCCTGAGTTCTAGGATTTAATTCAGGCAGCCATTACTGGGAGGTAGAAATAAACAACAAACCCAAATAGATCATGAAGGTTTGTCAGAAACAGGAGGAGTCGGTCAGTAGCAGAAAACAGATTCTGGGCGGCTGGGTGATGTGTTGAGAGGAATGATGTTGCATTGGGTCCTAACAAAATCCAGCTTCTGCCAAAAGTGAGACCCAAGAAGCCTGGCATTTTACTGGACGATGAGTTGAATGAGATTTCAGTCTAGAATTTGAACGATAGATTTCAGCTTTGTATTTTTAATGATTCTTTTAAAGAAGCCCTTTGACCTTATTTCTATACTGGAATTCATCCTAATCCTTTGAAAATCTGCATGATAACAGATTCTGAAGGATTAACTACCCAGAAGACGAGTGTGTTATTTCATTTTCTTTAAGTTGTAGAGATAACTTAGCCAGTAAATCTAGTCTCAATAATTTTTTCTTTGTACAGTTCTGCCTCTAAACAACCAGAATAATTTCCCTCCTCACTTTTAATAACTATCTATAAAAGCATGGCAGTAAAACAAAATTCATAGAGGTTGTGAGGATCAATTTTAGGTGTTGTTAACAAGTCTAGTAAAAATTTCAGCGAGGATGTCAAGACCATTTAATGGGGAAAGAACAGTCTTTACAAGAAATGATGCTGGGAAAACTGGATATCCACATGCAAAAGAATAAAGTTGGACCCTACCTTACACCAAGATTAACTCAAAATGGATCAAAGATCTGAACAGAAGAGCTAGAACTATAAAATTCTTGGAAGGAAACATAGGGGAGAGCTTCATGACACTGGATTTGGCAATCATTTCTTGGATATGACCCCAAAAACACAGGTAACAAAAGAAAAAAATAGATCAACTGGACTACATCAAAATTAAAAACTTCTGTGCATCAAAGGATGCAATCAACAGAGTGCAAAGGCAACCCACAGAATGGGAGAAGGTATTTGTAAATCAAATATCTGATAAGGAATCAGCGTCCAGAATATATAAAGAATTCCTACAACTCAACAATAACAAAAAGAACAACCTGATTAAAAAATGGGCAAGGGGCCGGCCCGGTGGTGCACTGGAGAGTGCGCTGCTTGGGAGTGTGGCGGCGCTCCCGCCAAGGGTTCGGATCCCATGTGGAGACCGGTTCCCGCTCACTGGCTGAGCGCGGTGCAGGCGCAACACCGAGGGTTGCAATCGCGTTGCCGGTCAGTAAAGAAGACAAAAAGGAAAATAAATAAATAAATAAAATAAAAATAAAAAATAAAATAAAAAATGGGCAAGAATATGAATAGACAGTTCTCCAAAGAAGATACACACATGGCCAACAAGCACATGGAAAGATGCTCAATGTCACTAATAATTACGGAAGTGCAAATCAAAATCATAATGTGATACCACCTCATACCCATTAGCATGGTGCCATCGAAAAAACAGAAAACAAAGCATCAGCAGGGAAGTGGATAAATTAGAACCCTTGAGCACTGCAGATGGGAATGTAAAATGGTGCAGCCACTATGGAAAACATATGGGAGTTCCTCAAAAATTAAAAATAGAATTACCATATGATCCAGCAATTCTATGTCTGGGTATATACCCCAAAATAACTGAAAGCAGGGTTTGTTTTTTTTTTTTTCCTTTTTGTCTTTTTTCGTGTCCCGCAACGGATCGCAACCCTCAGTGTCGCGCCCGTACCGGACCGAGACCGGCAATGGGATCGCAACCCTCGGTGTTGCACCCGCACCTTGCTCAGCCAGTGAGCGGGAACCGGTCTGTATGTGGGATCCGAACCCTCAGCGGGAGCGCCGCCGCACTTCCCAAGCGGCGCACTGTAGCAGTGTGCCACCGGGCCGGCCCGGAAAGCAGGGTTTTGAAGAGAGATTTTTTACACCCATATTCACAGCAGCATTATACACAATAGCCAAAAGGTAGAAGCAATTCAGATGTCATCAGCAGATGAATGGATCAACACAAAGTGCTATATACATACATATTCAGCCTTAAAAAGGAAGAAGATTCTGACACATGCTACAACATGGAGGAACCTTGAGAATGTGATGATAAATGAAATAAGCCAGTCACAAAAAAGACAAATATTGTGTGGTTCCACTTATTAAAGGTTCCTAGAGGAGTCACATTCATAGAGACAGAAAGCTGAATGGTGGTTGCCAGGGGCTGGCGAGAGGGGAGAGATACTGTTTAATGGGTAGAGAGTTTCAGTTTTGCAAGATGATAAAGTTCTGGAGATGGAGAGTGGTAATGATAACACAAAAATATGAGTGTACTTAATACCACCAAAATGTGCATTTAAAAATGGTTAGGGGCTGGCCCAGTGGCGCACTGGAGAGTGCACCGCTTGGGAGCGCGGCGGCACTCCCGCCGAGGGTTCGGATCCCATGTGGAGACCGGTTCCCGCTCACTGGCTGAGCGCGGTGCGGGCGCAACACCGAGGGTTGCGATCCCATTGCCGGTCCCTGGTACGGGCGCGACACCGAGGGTTGCGATCCCGTTACCGGTCAGTAAAAAAGACAAAAAGGAAAAAAAAAATGGTTAGGATGGTAAATTTTATGTTATGTGCATTTTACCACAATTTAAAAATTAGAAATTTAATTTAAAAAAATGAAGCAACACAATGAATTTTCATTCGTTGATTATCATAGTGGCAAAGATAAGTAAAATTAACAATTCTGTGTGATGGAGAGGGGTAACAAAAAAAGGAACTCCGCATCCTGTTCTTGTACAGCTCTTAAGGGGAGTGATCTGAACTATGTATCAAAATGTCAAAAATGTAGCCTTTGACCCAATAAGAGGGTCATACTGTCCTGCACTTCTGTGCCCTGCTGGCTGGCTCTGAGCGAACTCCTACAGCTTCAAAGCCTGCCCTGAGACACGCTGGGTCCAACCTCGTGCAGAAATGCCCAGCACCACTGGGGCTGAAATCAGAGGAGGCCGAGCGGTGGGAGGCGGGCCCCCCGGCAGCTGCTGCAGGAGGGAGGGAGAACAGGCGAGCAGGTGCAGGCCGGGCTGTGCTTCCCCAGTGGGAAGATGAGCACATTCCTGACCGGTGGCTTCTATTTTCCCAATTAAATGTGAAAGGTCATCACCTGAGAGCAGGGGACAGGGCAGTTTTGAGGAGAGAGGAGACAGTGTAAAGAGTTGTTTAGAAGAGCAAGCCTCTTGAGAAACAGAGCAAGACAGCTGGGCGGTTCTGAGTCTTTTGGGGTGGAGGTCATGAGTTTTCAGGGTACCCTTCTACCCCACGTGGATAGGGCCCCAACGGTTCTCACTGCACGAGGCAGTTGGTTGTGTCCAGCCAGGGACCCAACCTGCTCGTGATCTGGATAACGTGGCATCTGAAGGCAGGAGGATGCAGAACATAGAGAGTGGGACTAGCTTCTTCCCAGGGCTGTGTTAGACAGCATGCGTCCTGTATAGAAGTGGCCAGCACAGATGCCAGGTGCCAGTCAGAGGTTCCTGCCCGTCCTTCCTTTCCCTTCCTGTCCACCCTCCCTGAGAGCACGGAAGCTGAGGTTCCTGGACAGAAATGGGGCCATCCTCCAGAGGGCACCCATCCTGTGGCCATGGGGGAGAGTCTCAGGGTCCCAGCCTGTTCCCCAAACCGTATCTCACCGTGACCTCCTTGCCCATTGCAGAGATTGGTGTGGGCATCACCGGTTTTGGCATCTTCTTCATCCTCTTTGGGATACTCCTGTACTTTGACTCAGTGCTCCTGGCCTTTGGAAACGTGAGTCCCCCAGCTCTGTGTACCTCCCCTGCCCAACCGTCTATTGCCAGGAAGGTCAGCCCCAAGTTCATTCAGATCATGTCCACCTGGGGGTCAGGGGTCATCGAGCCTGGGCAGACGAGGGCTGCAGGGGGTAGAGATTAGAGCCTCTGGCAAAGAGAATCTGAGGCCCTGAATTCTCACGCCACACTCTGTATTCCCAGGTGAGTCAGACACTGTCCCTGCCATCGAACCCCACCATCTCAGGACAGGATATAACATTATATACACGGGTGGGGCAGTGGTCAAGTCACAAGACAGACACATTTCATATGAACCAGGGGGCTTAGAGGAAAGAGAGCACACCCAACTGGAGAAGGTTGAGAAGGAATTTGGAAAGGAAGTGGGTGTGGAGGGGGGGGAAATGCATTTTCGGGGAGGGAAAAGGTGTGGAGGAGGAGAGGAAAGCGTGGACACCCTGGCAGAGAGACAGAGGGCTAGATCTGGCGGGAGCCTGGGCTCTCTTACAGGACCGCCAGGAGCCAGGCTGAAGCAGTGACAGGGCCATGTGTGGGGGGCCTGGAGGATCACCCTGTGGGCTGTAGAGCCCCCGATGGGGTTGTGGCTCGGCATGGCTGCGTCACCTGTTTAGGCCTCCGTCCTCCCCTTTGTGAAATGAAGAGAATCTCGCTCTCTATCCACCTTCCCTGGGAGGTGTGATGAGAAAGGCAGTCAGGTATGAAGAAGTGCTTGGGATCCAGTGACTCGGGTAGGAACGAGGGACCCTCAGACCTGTCCTTGTCGTGCCTCTCCCGCCCCGGCCTGCAGGCCTGGCCCTGCCTCCCGCGGGCTGCCGTGTTTGCTCTCACACGCTCTCCCTCCCCACAGCTGCTGCTCCTGACTGGCCTTTCCCTCATCATCGGCCTGAGGAAAACGTTTTCCTTCTTCTTCCAGCGGCACAAGCTCAAGGGGACCAGCTTCTTCCTGGGGGGTGTGGCCATCGTGCTCCTGCGCTGGCCCCTCCTGGGCATGTGCCTGGAAACCTATGGATTTTTGAGCCTCTTCAAGTGAGTGCAAATCCCTATAACCCTGGACAGACCCACCAAGATGTCCAGTAGCTGAGATCACCCCAGCAGGGTGTGCAGAAGCTGGGACTTCATCCTGCAGGAGATGAGAGCCATGGAAGGGTTGGAAACAGGCAGGGGCCTCAGGCTGATGCTTTGGAAAGGCCCATTTATCAGCAGACATTGATCGAGCACTTACTGTGTTCCCAGCACTGTGCCTATCACCAGGAAAGAGACACAGGCCCCGCCCTCAAGTCTCAATGATCCAGCCAGAGAGGAAGGGCGGTGAACTAATGTTTGCCAAGTACGCTCACAATTGCCATCTTATTTTGTCCCCACAACCCACTGTAGTGTTGTTCTCTACTTAACAGATGAGGAAACCAACACCCAGGGGCTGTTCCCTGCCCAAGGTCTCACACTAACGTGAAAGATCTGAACTTGACCCCGTGTCTCTGGCTCTTGGCTCCGTATCCCTTGGCCTGTCCTATGTCAGCCCTGGGCCTGGCACAGCAATGGTACTAACAGGACTGCAGAAGCTCAGAGGGGAGGACAGGGAGGTGTCCTAGAGGAAGCAGGACCTGAGACAGGCCTTGAGGAATGAGTAGGGCCTGAGAGAAGACTGGAGAGAGCTTAAGGAGAAGAAAGAAAGGCTATTAGGGAAAGTGGGATGGGACTGTGGGGGGAATAGGGGTGGGACGGGACAATGGGGACTGGAAGAATCGTGCCTTATGCAATCATGGGAAGGAGCAGAGGTCAGGAAGGCCATGGGGAGGTCATGGGCTTCTCATAGGAGCCCAATTTGCTCCGTGCCACCTTGAAAACACCCTGAGGGGTCTGAATGTTCTAGGCCTAATAGACATCAAGTAGTGTGGCTTCAAGAAACCAAAATTTTCTTACACACATCTCCCTCCACTTATTCAATATTCAAATATGTCATTATTCAAATAGCTATTTCTTTAAATTGTCACATACATAATAAGTACCCCCTGTTTGCCAAAGACAGGGCTAGGTGTGGGGCTACGGCACTAAATGAGGAGAGAATTCCCGAGGAACTTGCAATCAAGGAGGAAGACAAGTAACTTCTCGTGATGTTTACTGAGGGCTCAGAGGTGCGGTGGGGCCACTGCGGGTTTGGTAGTTCAACCCAAAAGAAAGCCTTGACAGGGACACCTTGCCGCAGCATAGTAGGTGCAAAAACCATCAGAGCTGTGCAGGACCTCAGAAATGCAGCTGAGCCCCAGGAGAGGGAGGCCAAGGAGAGAGCGGCTCAGCCAGAATTCAACACACTGAGCTTCTCAGCCGTCCGCCCCACGCGGGGTTCCCCTCCCGCGCCCACCTGGGGGCCGCCAAGCCTGCGAAGGATCACACGTATGTCCCCGAGCAGGCCAAGGGCCAAGGGTGGCTCTGTGCGTGGGATGCCAAGGCTGGGGAGGGTAGACATGAGCACGGCCTCCAACAGCTGCCTGTGCCCAGGGCCCAGGAAACCTGGAGCAGGTGGCACACACCCCGCTAGGGAGGAGAAGTCTCCAGCAGAGTAGTACATAATGAGAGAAACAACAGTAGAAGTAAATATTTCCGGAGCAGTTCTTTGTATGAGGTCCTGCAGTGAAGATACTCTTGTTAACCCCACTTTTACAGCTGGAAACCGAGATTCAGAGAAGTTAAGAGATTTGCCCCAAGTGTGTAGAGTGCCAGGAAGTGGAAGAGCCAAGATTTGGGCCCAAGGAGTCTGACCCCAGAGCCTTCATTCTTAACCGCTTCACTTGGCTGCCTCTCAAAAGCCAGGGCTGCAGACGGAGCCTGCCCCAGTGCCAGGGGCCCGCTCTCCTTTGGGGGTCCTCAGCCTCACTACCCTCCGTCCCCCCCTCCTGGGCCACCACTGACTCCCCTCCTCCCGTCTGCTCCTAGGGGCTTTTTCCCTGTGGTCTTTGGCTTCCTGGGCAACGCCTGCAACACCCCCTTCCTGAGCACGGTGAGTACATCACGCATGCGCCCGGCGCCTTGGGGACTTGGTGAAACTGCCGCCCCAGGTGCGGCGGGCCCTCCCCATCTCCCCTCAGACCCCACCTCAGGTACGCCAGCCTTCGGCTCCTCTTCCCCTCTCTGCCCCTTCTCCGTTTGACACAAGCAGATGAGGTAAGGGGATCCCCAAGCAGTGTGCCAAAGGTGTGGGTACAGAACAAGGTAGCTATTAATATCCCCTTATCAGAGCCAAAGAAAGGGTGACTCAGAGACGCTAGGTGACTCATCTGGGAAGCTCCTGAGATTTCTGGGGAGTGGCTGGGTCTGGGCCCCAGGCATGGAGAAGAGGTGTGACAGCCAGTGACAGCAGGAAAAGCAGGTGGCAGGTTTGTCCTCTTCCTGGGCAGGCATGGGCAGTGGTCCCCAGCCCCTGCCCGTCCCTTTCTCTGAAGTACCTGACAGAATATGAACTCTCCGAGGAGCCCGGGGAGGCCTTCCAGCCAGCGCCTGACGCCCCCGCCAGCTGGGCACGTCCCCCGCAGCCCCTTCTCCCTTCTGTGCGTGGCATAGCTCCCGGCTTTCACAGCCAGCTCTGTAATAACCTGGCTATTGAGTCTGCTCCCCACTCTTTGTCTGGAGTAATGACTCTTGGCTCCCACAGCTGTTCCAGAAGCTTCAAGGTACCGGCTCCATGGTCTGAACAACAGAGACGAGGTCCTTGAACTTGGATCACGGGTGGAGAGGGTGGAAGGGAAGCGGGGGCCACCTCCGCAGGCGCCCCACCCCCGAGTCCTGACTCACTCCCCGTCATATCCGGACCTCAGCAAGTCCAGAAGGAAGCATGGAGCTGAGTGACTGACCTCAAATCCCCAAGTCCACTCAAGAGGCTGCCAGGACGGTTTGGAGCAGAGATCCAGGGCCCCGTGGAGATCAGACTGGGGCTGGCATCACATCCCCACCCTGTATTTATGGGGGAAAAGGGAAGATTAAATCCCCAAGTTGTGAGTGTGTCTAAGATGCGATGTCAATGTCTCCAGCCCCTTCGACCCATCCTCTGCCTCAGGACAGGCCAACACATGTCATTCCACATAGCGAAATTATGGCCTGTAAGGGTCTGTCCTGCTTTCATAGGCTGTAATTTTTATCCTCATGTTTAATAGTCCTAGTGAGTGGGATGATGCGTTTGCAAGCCTCTGTTAGCAGTAAGTATTGGACAGGTGATGGGTGCTAATTCTCCGTGCTGTCAGGACGTGTTTCTCAACCACTAGATGATAGTTCTGCACAGCGCGCCCACCAGGTAGGGCTTG